GCAGGCGTCAGCCACGGGATCCTGGAGGGGGTACAAGGTTAATGGCACCTGTGTAACTGTCAAGGCCAAAGGCGACCCCTGCTACCTCCCTCCCCTCTATCATCAACTGAGGCTAAAAGCCAGCACCACACCGTGAGGGATGCTTACCTGTAACTTATCTCCAAGGAATCAGGACACCTGAGACAACAGCTTTAGGGTCACTGCAGCTTCACGTTTAAAAGGAGACATGCATGCTGGCTGAACTGACCTCATGTCGGGCAGAACCACTGCTTCTAATAGCTGGGCTTCCTTAAAATGTGCAAATGTGTGTTATCAGATTTCACATTTCAGCAGAGCCTCATTACCCAGCAATGCCACTTTATTACAAGGACATAACTCATATCAGCAACTCATTAATGAGATAGCGACTCTGAAAAATGCTATTTCAGAGCTTATCAGAATTGTGCTAAATTATTTTTCCAGTTTCCTCCTAAAACTACATAAGATTATTTTTAAATCGGTGCTTTGATTTTTTTTTTTTTAAGATATCAAAGTCAAGTTCTCCAGCTCTTTTTTCAAACTACGAAATAATCTCAACTACCACGTGGGTGTGTGCCGCTTCAAAAAAAGAGATAGCGAAGTAATGCCAGAACGAAAATCACAAATGTACGTTACTTCCAACATAGTGCTTTCAAAGGAAAAGGAAAATATGAAGGTTCTGGAAGCTTTTTTTCACACAGCTGCAGGAGGCTAGATGGTGTTAGGATGCTAGTTCTCTGAAACACCATATGAAATACATTTTAAAATATTTATTCCTTTTACAGTAATATTTTATGAAGTTTGATTACATTCAAATGGTCCTAATATGGATTTCACATAATATAGGAGGGAAGAAATTTCAATATGAAGTTCAAACTTGCTTTCATTTGTTTTTCTACCTTCAAAAGTACACATTAACAAATCTCCCTTTACCTGAAGAGCAGCGGAAACATAGGCCCTCGTAAATATTTGATGGGTAACTGGGTATCGTGAATAATATTTGGCTGTTCCACTGGCAGCGCTTCTGAACATCTGGCAAACTGCAGCTTCCTGGTTCCAGACTGAGAGCTGGGACTCAGCAGGTGTTAAAAGTGTGTGTGATTGTCACCTAGTTCAGCCCCTGTGGTTTCAACACACAACCCCCATTTTCCTCCTCATGCCCAGTCCTTGGTCTCAGAAACAGAGTTTTATCTGAGAGCAGCAGAAGGCTCTAATGAATCCATCAAATAAACAGGCTCTGCACGGAAGTGAGCTGTTTCCATGGAAATTGGTAAGGGGAGGGCCATGCGTTTTCATTTTAGGGAACTTTTCTTGGACTTTTTTAAGCCTTTTTTAAGGCCCGTGTCTCAGGTCCATTTCTTTCTAAGAGTTTTCTTTTTTTTTTAATTGGATAGTTGCTTTACAATGTTGTGTTAGTTTCTGCTTTACAACAACGTGAATCAGCTATAGGTATACATATGTCCCCTCCCTCCCACCCTTGTCATAGAGCACATATTTCATTCATTTGATCAGTCTGTTTCTATTTGATGCTATTTCTTTCTATAACTTGAAATTAATATTTAATTTTAACGCCAAGCACCTCACACTTGGTTTGACGGTCAATATGTCACTCATCTAGAGCCAGACGTCCTGGAATTCGAAGTCAAGTGGGCCTGAGGAAGCATCACTACAAACAAAGCTAGTGGAGGTGATGGAATTCGAGTCAAGCTATTTCAAATCCTAAGAGATGATACTGTGAAAGTGCTGCCCTCAATATGCCAGCAAATTTGGAAAACTCAGCAGTGGCCACAGGACTGGAAAAGGTCAGTTTTCATTCCAATCCCAAAGAAGGGCAATGCCAAAGAATGCTCAAACTGCTGCACAATTGCACTCATCTCATATGCTAGCAAAGTAGTGCTAAAAATTCTCCAAGCCAGGCTTCAACAGTATGTAAACCATGAACTTCCAGGTGTTCAAGCTGGATTTAGAAAAAGCAGAGGAACCAGAGATCAAATTGCCAACATTCACTGGATCAAAGAAAAAGCAAGAGAATACCAGAAAAACATCTACTTCTCCTTTACTGACTATGCCAAAACCTTCGACTGTGTGGATCACAACAAACTGTGGAAAATTCTTAAAGAGATGGAAATCCCAGACCACTTGACCTGCCTCTTGAGAAATATATATGCAGGTCAAGAAGCAACAGTTAGAACCAGACATGGAACAACAGACTGTTCCAAATTGGGAAAGGAGTACGTCAAGGCTGTATATTGTCACCCTGCTTATTTAACTTATATGCAGAGTACATCATGAGAAACGCTGGGCTGGA